TTCTCCCCTTGCAGTTAACTCTGACAAGCAAAGCCCTCCCCTGATATGCAGGCAGTAAACTAAAATTCAGACAAAAGGATTTTTTTTTCCATTTGACAGATGAAAAATAAAGGCTAAGAGAAATTATTTACTTGTCCAAGTTCCAAAGCCAGTGCATTTCTGGGCCAGGATTTCCATCTTGGCCTATGTGATTCCAGAGCCCCTGCTGCCTTTCTGCTTGGGGGGCTGAAGGGGTAGTGGCAGTTTCAAACCAGTGAGAAGAAGTTACCTGCAAGCCCTGGGCTGCTTTGGATCCTATCCACTCCTGGAACTTAAAAGCCTCCCTACTGTTGTAACTGTATCCTACACCTCTCCTGGGCCCTAGAGGGCAGGGCAGGAGATGCTCAGCACCTCATTCTAGAACTGCGTTCAGTATCAAGCTGAAAGGTGGAGCCAGCCACAAACCTCAGGCAGTTTGCCTAATGCCCCTGTGCTTAGCCACCCTGCTATAAACTATAACTGTCACAGGACTTGTAGGAGAGTCAGTGTGGTGTATCAAGAGAGAAGATCCTGAAGCTAAAGAGCCTGCATTTGATTTAGCCTATTGATGAATTCATTTATCCATTACATATTGATTTTAGCCCCTCTGTATCTCATCTGAAAAACAACAGTACCCCCTTCATGGGGCACTGCAAAGATTAAAAGTGTCAATATTTATAAAGTACTTAAAACGTTGCCTGGAATATAGTAAGCACTGTATAAATGTTGGCTATTAACAATAATAACTTTATTATTATTATTATTATCTTCACCTCATATGAATTATGGTCTTCTGGAAGAGAAGACTGGAATTAATAAACTCTTAAAAGCCAGGTCCAGTTTCCAAGACTGAATCAATGGGTATAACCACATGCCTAATAGCTTGCTGCCTAACAATTTTCCTATTCTCATTAAAAAGTAATTGCTGAATCAGACACCTCATGTTTCCTTTATCTCCTAAAATCCTCTGGTTGTTCCCGGGATTATCAAACCAGTCCTTTTCAACCTAATTGCACTCTCAATAATGGGCCAGATGTGTGTGATAAGTCCTACTTGGGGCTGTGTCAATTGCTCCACTCTATTTATGAAGCTTCCATAGCAGCTTCATTATTTATCCCTGACCCCAACACAATTTGGCTTGTGTGCCTGTGTTTTAAACTGGGTTTGAAGCATTTAATTTTGCCAATACAATTTTAGAGTATTAGTTTGCCTCCTGTTCTCTTTCTGCCCTCCTTAATTACCATTTATTGCAAAGTCACACAGAAACATTAAATGCTAATTCTGACTTACATGTTCCTGGCCAAGAACAGGGATAATAATTTCCATCCAACACAACCTGAACTCATTTTACATAAGGGTGATTCAGAGTAGAGATTTGAAATCGTAATCAAGTCTTTCTCAAAATCGCCTTACCCTGGCAGTCATTCAGTAATGTCTCTGCTAATTGGTAGGCAAATTGCAAAAAACAAAATCTCAGTGTTACAAAAAAGCACACACAAAAAACAACAACTTTGCAACAGCATTCACGAAATTGCTCCTCTCATCAGCTCTCACAATGTGACAGTTTAAGAAGACAACACAATTCATTTCATTTGGTTAGATGGGGCTAATCCAACATCACCATAATCCCTCCTGATGTTTTATTGATTCTAAAGGACATTTAATCAGGAAGCAGCTCAGCACTAGAATCCTGCTAATTAGCAAGCAACCACATTCCAAATGGGTTCCCAATTGAACGGCAGATTAATGGACAATATGTACTAAAATAATGATTCGTGCATTCAGCTCCTGAAATGTGTGTCTAAATTGCATCTTTAATCTCTTAAGGATATAGGTTTGCATACAAAGCCCTTAAGGGCATGGGGTTCATTCACCAGAAGAAGCTTTAGCCAGTGTCTGTTTAAGGATGAAACAGGTTTATCACTTATACATGCAATTCTTCAGTGGTTTCATGGTTTTAATGTCCTCGAACATTCAGGTCGAAGACAGGTGAATAAAGAAATCAGTGTGCTTCTCTGATATGCACATTAAACAATGGGAAAATGAAAATATTGATATAATTATAAGCAGCCTAACCTCATTAGTTCTCCATTCACTCTTATTCGAATATCTCTGATTCTTAGAATCTTGGTTCTGAACACCAACTTTTTAATCAACTATATAATAATACCAGGTATAATGTGAGCTTTGATACTTGCATTTTCTCCACTTATATTGCTGCCTTTTGGAACTTCCCAGTTTCAGCTTATTGGCTTTTTACTTGGCTCTCAGTCCACTTCTCTGCTTTTGCTGTTTAACCACCCACCTTTGCCCTTACTCCACTCTTCCACAAGGCTTCGGAGAAGGGAAACTTCCATGTCTAAAGCTAGTCTAGCAGAAATTGTCTGACTAAGCTGATCATTCTATCATCATTTATTTTTCAATTGATGTTTCCTATAATCTTTAGCCTTCTTTGTTTTTCTGCATTGTTCTTAAAATCACGTGGTAGCTCACATACTCTAGCTCATTCTTCTTCCTCATTAGAATACAAGCTTCATGAGGGAAGGGGCTTTGTTTTATTCCTATCTATGTTTCCAATGACTAGAATAGTGATTGGTGTACAGCAGGCACTCAATATATGTTTGTTAAATAAATAAGTGAATTAATATTTACTGTGTACCTACCATGTGCTGGATACTAGCCTACAAGATGTAGAGAATAAAATATGTGGGAAACAGTCATGTTTTTTGCCAGCATGGAGATCACTATCTAGTCATTAAACTAACAAATCACACAAATAAATACATAATTACAAATAGTGATAAGTGCTAGGAAATACATTGACAAGGGACCTGACTTTGATGAGGTGGTTAGAGAAGGCCTTCTTCAATTTTTCTGTGAGCAAGAAACTAGGAAGAATTCACGTACCTGTGTCCTTAAGAGTATTTTCGAGACTATTACTTTTCTAGTTTAATTCAATGCCATATTTGTTGAATACCTACTATGTGCCAGGCACTGCTCTAGACCCTTGGGATATATCAGTGAATAAAACAAAGAACCTGCTTTCCTACAGTCTACAGTCTATCAGAAATCAACAGAAAACAATAAACATCACACATCAGCAAATCACCAAATACATTAGAGGTTGATAAGTGTACAGGAGAGTGCAAAAGGAAAGCATGTTAAGGGTAAGAATGGGTGGAGACTACAACTTTAAATAGGGTGGTTAGTGTAGGCCTTAATTATAATGTGACATTTGAGCAAAAACTTAAAAAAAGTAAAGTAATTAGTATGAAGATAACTGGGGAAAGAACAGTTGAGGTAGAGCAAACATTTGGAGGTCAGGTGCTAAGGGGGATGTGTGCCTGGTGTGTTAGGGGAAGACAAGGAGGACAGTGTAACTGAAACATAATGAGCAAAGAAAGTTGTAGATGGTTCCAGAGAAGTGATGGGGGAACAAATCACATAAAACACTTTATAAGGATTTTGATTTTTTTTTTTACCTCTTAAGTGCAATAAGATGCTCTTTCACTGTTATGAGCAAAACCATAACATGAACAATATTAGGTTTTAATGGGTGACTATAGCTCCTGTATTGAAGATAAACTAGAGACAGAGAGAAGAGTGTTCAGTTAAAAGGTTACTAGAGTTATCCAGAAGAAAGGTGATGGTAGCTTGGATAGGGTGTAGTTAAGTAACAAGAGAAGTGATGAGAAATAACCAGTCCTGGACATATTCTGAACAAAGAGTTGATTTACTAACAGATTACTGATGAATTGGATATGAAATGTGAGAAAAGAGAAAGCCAAGGATTACTGGTATGTTGTGTTTTCATTTTAATTCAGTTCAACATATTTTATAATTTCCCTTGTGATTTATTCTTTGACCATAAGTTATTTAAAAGTATATTATTAGACTGTGGTTATTGGTTTTGGCTCTCTTTTTATATCTTCCATATCTCTTATTATGTTCTTGCTTTTATGAACATGTAAAGCATGTTTATAATTGCTCTTTTAACACTATTTCTATCATCTCTGTTTATGAATTTGCTTCTATTAATTGGCTTTTCTCCTAATAATAGATCATACTTTTCCATCTTTCCTGCTAATTTTTGTATGAATGCCAGAAATTGTGAATTTTATATCTTTGATATATATTTTTTATTCCTTTGGAAGTCTGGGGGCTTTGTTCTTGGATGCAGTTAAATAAGCTGGAAACAGTATGATCATTTTAAACTTTATTAGGGGTTGTAAAATTTGTTAATTTGTCTAGGGTGATTTGGCCTCACTACAACACAATATTCTTCCAAGGGCTCTACTCAATGCCACATGTGTTCCTCTCTGATTTGTGAAAATATGAACTATTCCCAATGCTGTGTGAGAACCAAGCATTTTTCCACCTCTTTCTTTTGATTTTCCTTTCTCTGGACTTGGGTAGATTCCTCAAATGCATACATTGGCCAATACTCACATGAAGACTCCAGGGCAACTCTTTGGAAACTCCTGAAAGAACTCTTTGGAGATCTCTCCTCTCTGCTACTCCCAACTGTGCATTCTAGCCTCCTTGGCCTTCCTGAACTCTGTACTCTATCTCTTTAGCTCAAGAACAATGCTGGGCTGAGTTTGCATTCCCTCTTCTTATTCAATAAGCTGAGCTTACCTCCTTTGTTTGTTTGTTTGTTTTTCTCTCAAGAATCACTGCTCTGTGCTGCCTCTTGTCCAATAATCTGACAACTATTGTTTCATATACTTTGTCCTATTTTTTAGTTGTTTACGGTACAATAGGAAATCTGATCATTGACAACCTATACTGGCTGGAAATGGAATTTCACTGCTTTTGTTTTTCTGTGGCTAAGAAGACTGTTTGGTCTTAATATAAGCAAACGTTTCTTAACTCTGTCATTAGGTAATGAAATTGTTTCACACATAAAACTTCTAGATTAAAGACAGATCTCTGTGTTTGGTATCACTTTAGAGGAATCTGTGAATAAAAAATCAACCTACTTTATTTCATTTTGGTAAGCCAAATCTTAGTGGTTATGCAATGTTTCCAGGAGGCTCAAAGTCACATATAACCCATACTTGCCACATATAACCCTGACCTGCAAATAAGAATTTGAAGTGTCACTGTAATGAAATTAAAATTGGAATCTCCCGCATCTAATTAGAATCTGCATGCTTTTGACAAGGAATTAATACCCCAGAGTGCATTGTATTAATACCATTCGGATATCATTCAAGACAAGAATGTCCAACTGAATGCTCAGCAACAGCAAATTTTTAGATGGTTGATACAGAAAAATAGCTCATTGTCCTGAAGCCACTGAACTTTAAAATTCTCATCTTACATTATTGTCAACCACAGAATTGGTGGCCAAGGCCTAGAAATTACATACACTTGTTATATAGGGAAATTGCAAAATGCTTTTGTACATCTACTTGGATTTACAAAACAAGTTTGCTGTATTAGCATTGTTAATATTATTATATGAATTTTCTATTTGAGGAAACCAAGATTGAGAGAGATATAAGTGACTCCCTCAATGTCATGTAGTTACTAAATCATAGAACTTAGTCTAGAAACCAGATGCTCAATAAATTACTTGTTGGATGAATTACTGGTCACTGCAGTTTCCTGCGTACTTAATATTTTCTTTGTGTTTGTGTGTGTGATTAGTTTATTGTTACCCTGTTTTACAGATGAGGAAACTAAGCCACCAACAGGTTATATGGTTCACCTAAAACCAGACATATCCAGGATTGGAACCCAGGCCTCCAGGCTCCAGGAGGGCTCACGGTTACCACAAGGCTAGAGCTCCCTATTTTCTGAGTCTAGCTGACAAACCAGTTCAATTCTCAAGTTGGTTTTGGGTGATACTTGGATTTAAACATGTCAGACTTTTAGGGATGTGATAGCATATGCTGTATGTTTAGCATAATGTTTAAGCATATAGACTTTGGAATAAAACAGGACTTATTCTGAGCACCAAATCTGGTGCCTGTGATCTGTGTGATCTCAGGAAGTTACTTAACCTTTCTATGCTCATTTACTTTGTATACTAAGTATGACCAGTGTTTTCTGCTTACCAGGATTCTGTGGAGATTACATGAGAAAATAAGCAGAAAATAAGAATAGTGTCCAGCTTCTAGTGGACATTGGGTTAATATCTGTTCAATGAAGAAAAGAAGAGAAGGAGGGAAGATGAAGAAAAAGAGAGGAGAAAGATAGAAGAAGAAAGGAAAGAAGTAGGAAGTGAAAACGAGAAAGAGGGAGAGAGGAAGGGAGACAGAATGGAAGGAAGGAAGGGAAGGAGGGAGGGAGGGAGGAGAAATGTCTAATTTAGTGTTTGGGCTAACTAGTAGCTACTATTATTATTTTGAGAGCAATTTCAGTATAATAGTTGCATCAAGCATATCTTTTTATTATGATCTGATGCTTTGTCATCATGGGGCTTTGCTGACTCAGAAGAGATTACTCCTCCCAGGGCTAGCCGATTCCTAGATATAGTAAAGGAATGGCTTGAAAGTGTACAAACCAATCACCTTCTTTACTGGGGCTCTCACACTTGGGTCACTGTTTCCCTGCCCTTGTCACCCCAAGGCAAAGTACCAGGTAAATTGGGACAGACCCTGTACCCCAGAGCCTAAATTATTCATTCTAGTCAATCCTAAACCTGGTTACCCTGCCTTGCACATTCCACAATGAAGGCGCGTGCCTGCATTTCCCCTGTATCCTCTCTTGCTTCCTGACAGACGTCACCCTGAGTGACATGTGTGGCGTGCTGGGCCCAGTCCTCTTGGGCACTATGAGTAATACACTATTTTTTCAACGGCAGTCATCTCCTGACCTGTTGGTCTGACCATACTTGAATAATAAAACCTAGACTTTAAAACAGTGACAAAGAGACAATTTTCATTCATCTGTGCGGAAGGGAGCAAACAACAAATCTGGGTTTGAGACTTGCAAATATTACTAGGTGTAGAGGAGCTGTGTCAGGGAAGCTTAACAGAGCAAAAAAAGATCAATATGAAACATAAAAAGTGGCTAAGACTTTGCCAGAAGATGAAGGAGTTGGGGAGAATTCTAGGCAGAAGAAAAGCTTTGTAAATAATGTGTGAGAAAGAGCATGGTGCTTTTTAGAAACTGTGTGTATTTTGACATTATTCACTCTACTATAGTTTTATACCCCTTTCCATGCTAGGCAGTAATTATGTGTTTATTAGAACTTCTCTCCAAGTCAGTGGCTTACTGAGGATTGGAACTGTTTCATTTTCCTATCATTACTGCCTAGCACATTGTTAAACAATAATACATCAATAACGATTGAATAAATGAATAAATGGATGAATGAGGAAGAGAATGAATGAGTTGAAGACACTGAAGAGTTGGAGTGTGTATGGACAGAGGTTAACAAAAAATAAGTTTTAGGAGGTAGAAATTAGTCACATTATGTCATTTTACTCCATAAATAAGAATTGATTTATCACCATGATTTGAGCATTTTGATATATTTTTTAAACATCAATATTAAAAGGTTATTCTAAAAACAGTTTATTTACTTCTGGCAATATTGAGTTTTGTGCAAGGCTAGAATGAGCAGCAGATTAGAAATAATACATCAGGGTTCCTAGAAGCAGATTGATTGATAGCTGCTAAGAACTGACTGTTGACAGTTGAGGAGGAGTAATATAAATATCTACCAGAAAATCCTGTCAATTTAGTGTTATTCAGGGTTATTATTAAAATCCTTTAAAGGATGAATATTATAATGATAACCCTTGTTCAATAAGAAAGCAATTATATGAAGTTTCTTCTGCTTAATAAGAGATTTTAAAAAATCAAATGTAAATAATCTTATTTAGAAAATGACATGTGAAATAAATATTCAGTTCCCCAAAATGCTCCTGGAAAGGAGATGCTCTCTCAACTTCCTTTCTTCCCATTTATGGCTTCATTTACATTTCATGCCATTACTGTACTTAAACTGTGTTTATGAAGTCACTAGTAACCTCCATGGTTTCATATTTAATGGGTAGTTGATATTTTCAGTCTTAATTTTACATGGTCTCTTCACAGTGTGAGACGTGGTTGGTCTCTTGGCTTTCTTGACGACTCCTCTGTCTCTTTTGATTATTTTTAGTCTCTTTTGTTGGCTTCTTTTAGTCTACTTGTTCCTTAACAATGAGTGCCTTCCTCAGCCTTCCCTTCTCACTTTTCATTATGTCCTTAGTAATCCTAACTACTCTCATGGCTTCAATTCTGTATTGAAGATTCTTAAATCATTATTGTTTCAATCTCTCAACCTAGATCAACATGTTCAAAACTGAACTCATCATCCCTTCTTATACTCCTTCAAACTTTTCTGTTTCCTATCTCAGAGAACAGTACCACCATCCACCAAGTTGCCAAAGCCAGAACCTTGGGAATAATTTTTAGTTCTTCCTATTTTGGGGTCCACATCCAATTAGTCATCAATTCCTGCTTTTGTACTTCTTTAATATCTCCATCCCTCATGTTACTGTCCTGGTTGAAACTTTCTTAATTTCTTGCTTCAATTACTGGGCCAGCCTTCTGAAGGGTCTCTCTGCCTCTGATTCTCCATATTCTGTTAGAGTGCTCTTTTTAAATTCTAAAGTTGATCATACCATTCACTTGTTTAATATCCTTTGACAATTCTTCTGTGCCTTCAGGATAAAATTCACACTCCATAGGAACATCATAGGTTAGCTCCTTCTTGTCATTCCAGAGTCACCTTGAGCAGCATCTCCCACCATCTCCATACTTTCACTATGTTCTGCCTCTACGGATGACTTCCAGGTCCCTGACTTAACCACACTTTCTTTCATTTCAGGGCAATTTCACATTGCTGCTTTTACCTAGAACACCTTTCTGATTCTTTCCTCTGCTCTTTTCTCTAGTTCTTTGACAAATTCACCTATCCTCTAAGATTCAGTATTTGCATTTTCTTCTATGCTAGGCTAGGTTGGTGTTTCTTGTCTGTGTTCAAAATTACTGGCTAGGTTGGTGTTTCTTGTCTGTGTTCAAAATTACTGCCATCACTTCATTTGTTATACAGAATTGTAACAACACGTTAAAACATCCCTTTCCCCTGAGCTCCTGGAATTGTAATAGTCTATTGTTCTCAGCCTTACCACAGTTCCCAGAACACAATGAGTGAACAACATGTTGAATGCAGGAATAGGATAAACATGCCATATTGATAAGAAAGATGGCTGTTGAACTGGAAAAAGGGAAGAGAAATAATTTTATAGTTTTAAGGCAGAGAATACTGATATAGAAACAACCAAACACAAAACAGGAGCTGACAAACTGCAGAAGACTCTTATAGTCCTGGTCACTAGGTAAACTGGTGTCATAGCTGGAGCTGTGGAATAAACTTCACATTCAGCAGCCCCAGGTTTCCTCAGTAATGGGACTCTCTGTTGATGATAAGGAGGAAGTTGCATGAAAATGAAGCAGAGTAATTAGAAGTTCAGCCACCTGTGTTCCAGCTAGTTCCTGCTGGGAGGAAGATCTAGGAATAGTTTGGGAGGTAGAGTGGAAAGTAATTGAGTTCAAGAGATGAAGAATGCAGATTATGTATAAAAACAGTTAAACTGAGCCTATGTGCTTGGGAGCTTCTTAGGTTCTACAGACCTATTGAATCTACTTGGTAATGGTCAGGAGGGGTTAATAAATGTATGTGGTTCCACGTTGCCTCAGCAATCCTTCCAGAAGCCATCATTGCATCAAAGGCATGCTAGAGGAACAGATGAGTGAGTTCCTAGAATGAGGATGACAGATATTTGATATGTTTTCATACTGTTCTTTTCCATTGATTTGAGTGACAAGGCCCGTAGATTATCCTTCCAGACTTCATTTATTTATCTGAGAAGCTATAGATCATTTGCAAACCCTTTGAAATGTTGGCTGTGAGGATGTGCCTCAGCCCCTCACTCCTGTCCAGCACAGGGTGCATAGATTTTACAAGAAACTCAAGGAGGTTTGTGGTTCTCTGCACTGCACCCCAAAGAGATTTAGTACTAGTCAAAAAGAAAGCCCCTTCTAACTCAGATGGCCCTGCCCAGTTGCTCTGTAGTCCTGTGTCCAAGAGCAAGGATGCTGGGCTGAAACTGCTGCTTCCTGTATCCAATGTCCCTTGGGCCTCAATTTGTCTCACGTTCTGGGGAAACAGAATTGTATTTTACATGCCTCCCAGAACTGTAATATACTTTGAGTGAGTTCCAGATGTCTTAAGAGATGCCAGATGGCTCACAAGAGGCAGACCAGCTTTAAGGAAAGTGTGTCCCATTTCCTTGGATACAAACCACAAATTTAAGCTTTCAGGGCCAGCAGTGGGGGGAGAAGGTCGAGGCCTGTGATAGCCAGTACTCAGATATCACACAGTGTGCTAAGTGCCTTCACACACTGATGTTGTTTAACAACAGAAAGGAGGCAGATATTTGGAGCCCAGTTTTTCTAGATGAAAAATCTGAGACTCAAAGAATTTAGGCAAATTGAGTTTGATTTTCAAGTCAGCTATGTTCCATTCTATAGGTATTATCTGAGAACATTTGGGCTTCACTGATGGTGCTATGTAGTTTCTATTAACAAACAATTGATGCTTCTTACTCTATTCCTGCTGATCAATCCTGAATATAAAAATGTCTATTTAGGATATGTGGAATCTCCTGTAGTGTTCTCTCTCTCTTTCCAGTAAAACATGCTTGCAGGTGTAATGTTCACTCACTCACACACACACACACACACACACACACACACAATCATTAACTTTGCCTTTGCATGCTTAGCTGATTGTATAAAAGAAAGCATAGAGAAAGCTACTTCTGTGCTAGAATAAGAATCCACTTTTAGCATATTGTGTCCTTGCTTCCTTAGTAAGCGTCACTTATTCTTTTAAATTCTCTGACTCGGAATTCTAACCCCTGTTAACCTAGAGGAAAGGTATTTTTCAATCTTTCCAATGGAGACTTGCTCCTCCTACTTCCCCATAATTTTCAATTCCTTCTACTCCTCTGGAATTTTAACCTTTGTGTCCTGAACTCAATGGAATCTTTGAGATATTGTCTGCCTAATGGAGTTCCATTTATGGCTCTTAATTTCCAGTTTGTTTCTGTACTTTGAATCCTCTCTCTGCCACTTGCTAGCTGAAGCCCTTAGGTGACTCAACTGGCCTCTCTAATGCTTGGTTTTTAAAATTTATTAAGTGGGTATTATAACAACTACTTAGATTTTGTAGTTTGTAAGTGTTAGATGAGATCATGTAAGTAAAGCATTTAGCACAGTGCTTGGCTCTCAGTGAGACCTCAGGAAAGCTTGGTGGTGATGAGTTGTTGTTAACAGAACTGTAGTATTAGTGGTAATTATTATTTTGCCTGTATCCTAGGTAGTCTCATGACTGGGGTTTACGGTTCTGGACCTCCTTCCATTAAACACATCAGCACTGTTAATTGATGCTCCAAAAAGAGGATGCCCAATGCAATTAGCAATATATCACACCAGTCCCTGCAGTTTGATGAACCTAAGGAATGGAATACCATGTACTGACCTCATGGAAACTGGTAGAAGATGTGAGAAATGAACATTTGGCCTTGGCAAAAATACTTGTTTTTCATTGTATAATATTATTTGGGTATTTTCATATTCTATAATGTTAACATAAAACATAGCTCAATATAAGTAATCCTTGGAGTAATTCTGCACATCTATCAATTCCTTTTCTATTTAGTTATTCTCCTCTCTGGCATAGAAAACAAACAAACAAACAAACAAACAAAAAACTGTGTAATATAACCCACAGGCAGAATACAGGTCATACTTTGGCTTCTTACTATAGACCCAATGCTCCAAGGTAGGCCTTTAGAGAGGAACAAATCTGAAGTCCAATTTTGGTCACCTTGAGTTGGAGCAAGTAGCCTGAGAGCAAGTGATCTTCTTTACGAAGACTCAGATGAAGGCTCTCTAGGTTGAGGTTGCCATTGGTTGTCCTCAGCACCATCCTTAAGATCTCCAACAGGCTCTTGTTCACTTCTGACTGTGAGCTGGAGTTGAGAGGCATTAGTGCTTGGAGAGGCAGGGAAAAGCCTGTGAAAAGATGATACACTCGAAGCTGTTGTGTCTTTTCATACTATATCTCTCACCTCCATTATACACCAGGGACCAGAGGATCCACCAAACATGGCCTTCTCAATCTTGGTATCCTGGTCATGGGACTGCATGTGGTGATTTCATAAATTCACTGAAATCTGTTCCATTCTAGTGAGCATGACACTAGAGGAACCAACCAATTTGACTGGAATATGGGTCAAAGTTTGTAATCTACTCTCTCTTTTTGAGAGGTTTAGAGAAAAAAAATTAGAAGTGTTCATAGTAGTTTACCTGCTTGATCTTATGGGTTTCTTTTTAAGCCTAGATAATCAAATTTCCAAACTGTCATTGTCACAAGCAAAGCAAAGCAGATCTTAAAGAGCCTATATAGGAAGAAATCTTGAAACAAGTGAACTTCCTGCATTATCCTTGACTCTGCTATTTGTATCTGGAAAACCCAGAAAAGTTTGGGTGTAATTATTTATTTACCAGGTGGCATGCAAATGCATGTAGTTAATCACATGGTTTAACTAACTGACTTTTGTTATTTTACCTAACAGGTGAAAAATAGCAGAGTGATAAACTGTCACTTATTTTATGAAACTAGTTTGAGATGTTTACTTATTTAATGCTCAAAAGTTTGTGTCCTTCCAGGTCTGGCCAAACTATTTTCTCTGCAGTGGAGCTTTTTCTAATTTCCATCACCTCAGCTTAAGTGTCACTTCCCTAGAGAGACATTCTCCGATGTCCCCCAACCCCTACTTATGTAAATTTGTTTACTTTCAGTGGTGTGCTGGTAAATCTTTAATGACCAGCTCCTCAAGGTGAAGCCCCAATTTGGAACATTACTGATTTTCATGGCGTGAATACTCCCATCATGGCTGATTTAAAGCTACCAATATGTTGTCACTGAGTGAAGAGTTGGGAACTGATGCACACAGTAGGCCCTCAGGGTGCTGCAGCACCTCCTGCTAGATAAACTGTTTTATAGTTCTTTGTTCTTTTCCTTACTAAGTCTCCCTCATGCTGCAGTCTCATCTTTTATTTTCTTAGTCATTGTTTCACGTCTGACTTCCTTAGCAGATTGCTCCGTAGATACAGGTTGAGTTTGTTTTGTTCCTTGCTATTCCTGGGAGATACTGTATAGTAACTGCAATTGATCATTTTTAGATCTATTTAACTTCCCTAAAGGCCATATTGTATTTTCTTTTCTCTGTAACTCTTCCTTGAGCTTTGGCACCAAACTACCTGAATTACTTAATAATAGCTAATATTTTCTAAAAGTTTGGTACAAGAAAGGAGAAGTGGCTATTTGTCTCTGTTTTGGTCACCTATCTCTGCACCCCCCTCTCCTTGTTCGGGGTGTTGCCCAGCTCAGGAGTCTGCCTCTCTCTCCAGCACAGGACAATGCCAGCTACTTGCTTTACCAGCCTCTCTTTGCTGCTTGGGATACATAACTCAGGCCTTGTCATTCAGATGTATCTGTCCCAAATTTGAATCAGAAGTTATTCTTTCTCTTTTCTTGTAACATCAGTTTCTGGAAGTAGGAATTCATGAGGCTCTGGCCCCCATCTCTGTACACCAATTACTGAATGGACAGGTGTTGTATGGAACCCATTTACTGCACCTGGTAGGGGTTCATAGACAACCTGCTGCAGGAGTTGATTTCATCTCCTCCAACTTAAGTGATGAGAGTTGTTGCCACTTCTGCTCCTGCGAGTGATGCTGGAGGCTTTTTAAACATCATAGAGCTGCCTCATTAAAGGCTCTACCTGACAGAACACAAGAAAGGACATTTTCCTGAGCAGCACATTAATTAACAAAGAGCCTGGATTCATTACAGGCCATTAGTCCTGCACTTCTACACACACACTGTCTGGTTTCTGTAAAGCAGCACCTTCTCTGTTGAGGTCAAACTGTCTCTTTATGCACCTTTTTTATAAGAGAGATATCCAGATGTCCCTGCACATGAAGTGATGCAAGCTTTTTGGATAATTGAAGGTGCCAATTACATACAATAAATATTTATTGAGCATCTCCCATGTGCCAGGATCTATGCTAGAACTGTGCTAGACACTGAGTTGGCCAGGACAGACATGATTCCTAACCTCAATGTCAAATAAGTAATTACAAGTACAATGTCTGTTATGAAGGGTAAAATCTGCGGGACCATACAGCAAGGAAACGTAACCTAGTCTAGGTAGGGCTCAGGAGAGGCTTCCTGTCTAGGACCCAAAAGATCCACATCTGCCCATGAGTGGCCATGTTTTCTGGTACATAGTCTCTTACCTCTTAGGGCTCAGATCTCACAATCCGTATTATATGAAGTGTGGTTGCTGATTATTAAAAATTTATAGGGCTCTATTGCTCTCAGTAGGACAGTTACCCCCAGAGTGATATTTGTCTGGCTTATCTGCATGGCGGTGTCCCTTTCTTTGGACTGTGAGCCCTTGAAGGAGTGACTGGGCCTTACCTGCCTCTGAATTCATTGTGCCCAGCAAAGTGTGCCTGGCAAAGAGCTGGTATTCAATGAACATTTGTTGAATGAAATATCAGAGTCAAAAAGAGCACACCGTAGGAAGGAATGAAGTCTAGCATTTGGCCCAGGGACATTTGTATAGAACACCCTACTTTTTTCTTAAAGTAAAGAGGTAAATTCCTATCCCATGGCTCTTAGTCAAGATGTCACATTATTTGTAGCTGAAAAGAATATCTTCTGGAAGGATAGTTGAAAAATAGTAACAGACACTTATATAGCATTTACTATGTACCAGGGACTGTTCTTAAGAACTTAGCATTAGTTAACTCAGTCACTGTTACAAATCTCTGGACTTAAGTGAACTCTATTATCATTCCCATTTTACAGTTAGGGAATGGAGGTGCAGAGAGGGTAAGCAACTAGCCCAAGGCTACAGAGCCACTTAGTGGCAGAGACAGGGATTGAGCCCAGGCTTCTGGAGATGGGGTTATGCACCTAACCACTGCACTGTGTCATTTTTCACGGAGAATGCAAAAACTATCATACTTCACTGTGTCTCATCTCTAATGATATCCTCACGTCTGATTTTAATTTTTAATCACTCATTTCCCTTGAGATTATGTGAAGGGATTATTGATTTCTGTACCTCAAACTTTTCTGTGCTGATACCTGTAGCCCAGGAGTCCACTGACTGAACTTATTTCTGGAATCACACTCTAGATGAGTTCTGCACTAGTACGCAATCATTTCTTATTTCATAAGGAGGCTTGTCATTCTTACATGGCATTCTCATAAAAAAGACACTGCTTGATATTAAGAAGCATATGCAATTGTTGCAAATGATTTGTTATGCCTACCTATGTACAATGCAGAGAGAGGAAACTATAAACATAAGCCAAGTGTTGATGAACAGCAAGTGTTTCTGCATAAGGTGAGCTTTTAGAGCGAATGGCCTTCAAGCCCTGCCAGCTCTGGGAGTCTCTGATATGCTTCCAGCAAGGAAGTACATTTTGCTGTGATGGTTACCACCCTCAGTTTTCCTCAGGTTGCTGCCCACAACTCTTTTGCTTTGCTGTGGATCATCTGAAGCTGCAACTTTTAAAAAGCAGAGTAGCTTTTCATAGTTCACCTGAAAATACAATATATAACAGAACATCCTCATTTAGTTTACATGGAAGGAAAAGAGGCCTGCTGAAATAAAATGTGTTTGAAATCTTTTACCATTAAAAGGATTTAAAGCGGCTTAAAAATATAATAATTATTAGTGCTTTTCACCAAATATTCCTATTATTGTCCCTGCTGGACAAATAGTAAAACTACTTCCTGGTTGCCTTGTGTTTGCGTAGGACCACATGACCAATTCTGGCCAAATGAGATATAAGCAGGTGGAACGTGTGCTACTCCTGGGCTGAAGGTTAAACTGCTGGCATGAGACCTTCCAGAGCTCTCTTTATTCCCTTCTGACATATGTCCAAAAATATTCTGGAGTGTCTGCTTCATCAGCCTGGGTTTTGGAGTAAAGATAATGATAATACTGAGAAGAGCCTGTGGCTAACTCATTACAGAAATATAATGTAAATGAAAAATAAGCTTTGTTGTTTTAAGCCACTGAGATTTTGGGGCTACTTGTTACTACACCATAACTTAGGCTCGAGCCTCTCTCTTCATCTCGCTCTCACGTCTCTTATATACTTATTATATTTAATATATGCTCATATTCAACAGATATATTCAGATTATTTGAGGACAAGGCCTTACTTACTAGGCTAAGTGAAAAAAAAAATCAAAGCTTTTAAAAATGTTTTTCTAAATTTTTACATCGGACAGGACTAAAGAAATGTCCATTTCCATTGCTGGGCTGGATGGCATGCTAGGGTCTGTGGTGGGCAGACAACTCCAGGGCAGTGGGGTGGGTAGCAGAGCGGGAAAGAAACTCAATAGCGTCCCTGATATAAACTATGTTTCAGACCAGAAAATTTGATTGAACTAAAGATTCACAGAGGTTGTACTAATAAGCTGTCATTATATTGCTAAGAACTTCTCATAAATACACAACTAATTTTATTTTTGCAGGGTTAAGATGGGCAGGAGAGAGAACATACATTTATTTGTGTGCCTACTAGCTGCTCAGAATGAAACCAGGTAATTTGCACCTATTATGTTACTAAATCCTCAGACTACCCTTATGAGGTTAGTTTTGGCCTGGTTTTGCTATTACTTCTTCCTGTTTGGACATTTTCCTCTAATTTCCTGAATTTGGTCAAACATGGACTATATTTTGTATTTACTCACAAGTGTGAGCTTGGGAAGTACAAGCTGAGGAAGAACCTGCCTGTGTATTGGGGGACCTTCATCTCAGCCCTGGGCCTACAATTAATTCTCTGTTTCCTTAGCCATGAGTAGTTCCTTAGCCCCTCTGGGTCTCCATTTCTTAACTAGTAAATTGATGGATGTGAGTTATATTTCAAAGATACCTCCCATTCTCTAACTCTCTAAGGACTAACGTACATTTTGGTCAAGTTCTCCATTCTTACCTCAGAGTTTACGGACTGCTCAGCCTGTAAATGGCCTGAAGTGCACCCATTATCTTGAATCTGTAACCATCCCAGAAGTGTTAGGAGTGGACAATGAAAGTTGGGGCAGGAAAGCCCTTTTAAAGAGAATTAAACAGGACTAACAGACCTAAATCTATTTTCTATTCTGGTATATTCTAACTAGAGATTTCCACATATGAATATAAACAAGCTTTGTATGTTGGAGGTCAATCATAAAGGTTATTTTTCAAGAAAGAAAGTAGCCTTTTAATTCTGTTACTCTGGTGGGTTTAAGTAAAACAAAAGAAATTTGCATTCAAAATTGCAAGATGGCCATACCATTTCAGCAGAGTCACTCCTAGAAAATCTCTGGCAGAGGATCTTGACTGTTGGTAACTGCAGAGGGACTTCATGCCTCAAGAAGAGGTGGCTCAGCTGAGATTGAAGGAGGAATCCTGAAGAGATAGGATCCAGGATTTTCAGCTCTTTTTGAAGCTTGTCTAGTAAGCCAGAACTCAAGGGGCATGACTTGAGTTCTCTTCTGATCAGGGTGAGAAGAAAAGTGAGTGTCTTCTTTTGTTGTTCCATTTGGCTTTTGGCCAATATCCTGACACCACCACCACCACCACCACCACCACCACCACCACAACAACAACAAATTAACACAGCTCTGAAATAAGATGGCTGAAGGCCAATGCAAGGGAGTAGAAGCCTAGCAAGGTTGGTATCAGAGTATCCACTCTCAGGTCTAGCCTAGAATAGGATGAGTTAGTAATACCTGAAGATAAGTGTCAGATAAGTTATTAGTTTATAATGCCCCAGGACCTTCTCCTGCAGAAGAAAAGAAGCAAGTCATTTCATAGTACACACTCTGTTAGAAGGCTCCTTAAGGTATATCATCTATCTTCTACCAAATAACTTTTTTGATTATATGAGAATTCAGAATAACATATTTTAGAGACCCATTAGATTTGGGAGGTGAAAAATGGGAAGAGGATGAAATGTTCAGTTGAGACATTTGAGGTTTTTCCTGTGAACTCCCCAGGAAAGCTTCCTGGAAAGCCAATTAGACATATGGTGTCTGGTGTCTACCAACCTATCCTCAGACTGTCTTATTATCTGCCCCACATCAAAATACATAGTCAACAAATAATACCCCTTCATCCACATTTGCCAGCTCTCAGTATACACACCTCAGTTTGGTCAGAGCCTCCCCTTGCCATCTGTTCCAAGGACCGGTCTCTAAGTTTTTTTCTGGGGAGTCCATGGATATAGGACAAGGACTGGTCTCCAGTTGGTGCAGAGCTGCAATGGACATTTGGCTGGTTGGGAGTTTTAAAGAAACAAAGACAAATGATAGTAAGTCTCAGAAGGGAAGAGGGCAAGAGGAAGGAAAAAGAAAAGAGAATATGAGTGAGCTAACCAATTCCTTAAAATATATTCCCAGTTCCAAATGACTTTAGCCCATATATTCAATGGGTCATTGAATCCCAAAGAAGAAAGTTTGCCTCAATATCATTTTCAGCATTATGTAATTAACAAGCATTTGATAAATATATTAATAATTAGATAATTTATCATTTGTATAAGAAAAGAGATATGTGTAGAGAGAGAAAAATTAGGTCAAACATAAAGTGTTTAAAGGCAAAGGAAGGTTCTTATTAGAGATAAGGGCATCTTTAGATTCTTTTAATTAGCAAATTTAAGAATGGTAGCAAAGGCAATTGAGAGCTTTGTTAAGAATGGACTAGGAGGGATCAAAAAACCCAGATAATTACATCCCAAGAGTGATATTACTAAAGGTTAAATAGAATAAATAATGGAACAGGGGTCAATAATAAAAATCCCATTCCTTCCTGCCCTGGAGTATGGTGTATTAATTACGTTTTTTATTTTCTGTACTTTATGATGGCTTGACATCCTAGAGGGCCTGGCTGGCTGGAAGAGTCTGTCCCTCCCGGGCCTAACTAATTTCTAGAGATAGTGATCAGCTGCATGCTAACACACTCTTTGTATGCAGACCAACCAGGCCTGAGTCCATATCCCTAACCACCTCCTTTAGCTAACTAACCCTCACACACAAAGCCAGTATTTCCCCTGCCTGACATCAACCCAGTTCCACACACTAGACAACTAGGAACCAATACCCAAAGCCCCCTGAGTTTATTTAAATTAGCCAGTCTTAATCTGCGTTGCCTTTCTCATGGCAACCCCTATAAAGGCTGTGGCTTGTGCTTCCCCCTCAGCTTCTCCCCTCCTGACTGCTCTTCATGGTATGGTCGGCTCCCCTTTCCTGGAAAATGTAAATAATAAACCCTTCTGTCAAAGGCAGTATCTCTATATCTGTCACCTTACTATACCTGATTAAAATAAAACCCCAGGCACAAATCAAGGTACATGGTAATTTTTAGTATTAGGTAATAGAAAGCAGACATTATCAGAAGGGTTCACTGAAAACTGAGAGTCTGTGCTCAATCTATAGTCATGTTGAATAACCTATCAGGATGGAGAGCAACCTACAGATGTTTTATAGTCATGAAGCATCTCAAAAAAAAAAAAATTAAGATCTCTCTAGAGTGGGCAGAGTGAGTAGGAGTGGCAGAGAGTTCTAGAATAGGCCTAAAAGTAACAAAACATTTATTGGGCACACACTCTGTATGGACACCCTATCGGTGCTTTATCATTCAGTCTAATCCTTACAGCAATCCTACAGGTGGATACTATTAGCACCCCTTTATATTTTGAAAGCCGAGGCTTGCAGAAATTAAGTAACTCTGTTTCTTCATTTAAGAAATATTTATGGTTTGCTTAGTCTGGGCCAGGCACTGTCACAGGCCCTGCTCTCACAGAGCTTGCAGGTAGTGGGCAGCACAGCAGGCAAATGTGACAGCAAAACATGCAGTGAAGGCCACAATCAGAACAGTCCATGGAGCCCCCTAAGCTGGACTTGGCGGTCCAGGTCTGGAAGCAAAGACATTTAAATCTAGGCTTGAAAGGTGAGTTACATACGGATTTGAATAGGCTCAGTGGTGAGGAGGGAGAACAGAAGAAGGGAAAGTACAGGAGAAGGAAACTAAATATTGAACGTCTCATAGGTGCCCACAGGTGCATAACGGAGAGATGGATGCTTTCAGAGCACAGTTTAAATCAAAACTGTCCAGAGTTTACTCCCTAGTAAATTGCGCAGATAAGGTTTGAACCGTGCATTTCACCACTGCCTTAGGATGAGAGAGATTCCACATTCAGTCCACAGAGCAGTTTCATTCTCTAAAATGTTTGGTTAGTTATTTCAAACATATTGTTCAGAACAATATGTTTCTTTGAAAATTACTTGCAATATAAAATATTTCCATTTTTGCCACATATACGTATTTTTTGTCTCTTGAGAATTTGATATACTTTTATAACACTCTGAAGAAGCAGTTATCAATACTTCATTATTGCAGTGGGGTCAAGGTGTCCTTTAGCCCCTCTCATTTATTTATTTATTTATTTATTTTTTTAAATTAATTTATTTACTTTTTAAATACATTTGTCTCTGCCTTCCCCCCCCTCTTTCCCTTGCCCCCTCCCACCTTCCCTCCCTCAGCTCTTCCCCTTTGGTTTTGTCCATGAGTCCTTGCTATATGTTCCTTGACTTTCCCCTTCCCTTCCCTTTCCCTGCCCCCCCTTCCCTCTTGTCTCTGTTGATTTCTTTTCCTTTCAGTGTTGCTGGTCATATTTGCCTTGCTTCTTTTAAACACCAAAATTTATTGAGTATCTTTATTTTCATCGCTCAATAGGTTCAAGTGAAGAAGGCAGGTAAAATTCTTGCCCTCAAAATCTTTTGGTCTAGACATCACTGACTAAATTTTATGGTTTCATCTATTAAAGGGGAAAATATTTCTCCCTGGACTGATATGAAGAATGTGTTATATAATGTATTTTATATAAATCTTTTTTATTTATTTATTTTAAATAAAATAAAATCTATTTTATTTAAATCTTTTGTAAATTCTAAAATTATACTGTGTATTTATTTGTTATTTTGTGTCTCTCCCACAACTAGGCTGTAAAGTCTGTGTGGGCCAAGACTATCAGTGTCTTGCTGACCCCCAGCATGAAGAACAGCACCACATTTGAAGAACAAATGGAGAAACAGTGTCAGAATGTTGATGATGTCTTTCTTATTCAGGTTAAGTGCATGTGGGGTTTCATATTTGTCCCTTCATTGATTAAATCATCTTGGCTATCATTTTTCAAAAGCAAGGAGTGTCCCCAAAGTGCCAATGAAAGTAAAATAGGAAATTCTCATCCAGAATCACCATGTTTCATGTTGCCAGAGTACCTATAAAATCTCTGATGTTATAGATTTCTCTTACTTGTTTTACTTTGAGTCACAAAATACCACTTGGGGATAACACAATAGTTTGAAATGACTCCCAAGCAATGTTGGATTTCATGATGTTTCCTTAAAAAAACTGGGACAAATGAAGCACAGAAGTTTAACACAGATTTAGTAACTCTTCTTGGGGTGTTGGAACTTGCAAATGTTAGGAGTGTAAACAATTTTTTTTTAAGATTGCTTTTAAATAAAACTATTTTAAAATAGTTATATTGAGTTGGCCAAAAAGTTCATTTAATATTTTCCATAAAATAAAAGACATATTTTTCATTTTCACCAATAACTTTTTTGATTTGGATATTTTGAGTATATCGGCTATTGCCCACTATTGGCATCTAGTGGGTGAGGCCAGGGTTGCTGCTTAACATCTTCCATGCATAAGACAGCTCACAGCAAAGAATTATTTGGCCAAAATGCCAATAGCACCAAGACACTTCCCAAACCACTTTTGACCCATTCGGTCAGTCACAGCACCTTCTCCATACACTGCCCAAATCTGTTTTTGTATTTCAGTTATGTTTTTTACCTTTCTTGAAACAATAAAGCATAAAATACCAAAAATATTGCTTTTCTTCCATCTTCAATATTAAGATGGCTGCACAAAAACACACCAATTTTTATGTTTTTTAAATGCACACTGATATGACAGCTGTCACAATACAATTTAACAAAATTGTTTCGAGTGAAGTTAAAGACAACTAAGTGTTCCTGGACCCGTGGTATGAAAAAAACTAAACGAAATTTTTAGCCAACCCAATAGAAATTATGAAAATTTGCAGGCAGAATCAAATGCGTATGTGAAAAGTGCTATTCCTTTTACAATGAATAATATTCCATTGTATGCATACACATTTTGTTTATCTATTCATCTGTTGATGGGCATTTAGGTTGCTTCTCTATTTTAGTTACTGTGAATAATGCTGCTATGAACATGGGTGTAGAGAAATATCTCCTTAAAACCCTTCTTTCAGTTCTTTTCACTGTATACCCAGAAACAAAATAGTGATATCTATCTTTAATTTTCATGGTAGTTCTATTTTTAATTTCTGAGAAACCACTGTAATGTTTTCCACAATGGTTATAACCATTTGCATTCCTATCAAGAGATTTGCTTCACATCCTCACTAACATTTGATATTTTATATTTTTCTTGTTTTATTTTTGATAGTATCTCTATTTTAATATGTATAAGGTGGTATCTCATATATTTTTAATTTATATTTTCCTAATGAATTGTTATGTTGACTGTCTTTTCATGTGCTTATTGGCCATTCCTTTATCTTCTTTGGAGAAATGTCTATGCAAGTCCTTTGTTCATTTTTGAATCTGGTGGTTTGTTTTCTTGTTAAGTTCTCCATATATTCTGGATATTATTCCCTTATTGGATATATGATTACCTTCCATTCAGTGGTTGTCAGTTTTATTCTGTTGACAGTTCTTATGATGAATAACATTTAAAAATTTTTAGGAAATCCCATTTGTCAATTTTGTATTTTGGTTCCTCTGCCTTTGGAGTCATGCCTAATAAATTATTGCCAGACTCAATATAAATATTTTGCCATATTTTTTTCTTCTGAGAGTTTTATAATTTTAGATCTTACATTTAACTCATAGGTCCATTTTGAGTTAATTTTTGTATATGGTGGTAGGTAAGCGTCTAACCGCATACTTTTGCACATGGATACTCAGTTTTCCCACTACCATGTGCTGATAAAACCATCTTTTCCTCTTTGAATCATCTTGGTACCCTTCTAAAAATAATCTGACCATTTAATGAGGATTTAATTTTAGATTCCTTATTCTGTTCCATTGATCTATATGTCTATCTTTATGCCAGCACCATAATGTTTTGATTACTGTACCTTTATAATTAGTTTTGAAATCAGGAAGTAAAGTTCTCCAGCTTTGTTCTTGAGATCCCACACGAATTTTAGGATAAGTTTTTATA